GAAGGATCCACCAGAGGCTTTTTCACTGTTGTGGGTAAGGTGATTAAATTTTGTGTTTCACAATGATTTGAAAACTTTGGTCTCAAAAAAATTCTCAAAATGAAAGTATGAAGAGATTTTCTTAAGCTATTAATTGGAGGGAATTAGTGTTCAGGCCATCCTCTAATGCATGCTTTCCTATGGTATCTAAAGGGATTATTGTACCATTTCTTAACCTGTGTTTCTAGGAAACATGAGTTCTGGCAGATGGTTACTGCTATTCAGAAAACCAAAGGTTCTATTATAACCCACTAATCTGAAATATTAAATTCATCTCTTTGAGAAGCAGAATAAACTTTCCTATTCAAGATTCTGGGAATTTCCTCAGTGAAATTATTATTTACATTAATACCTTTGGGGAGGGATGGATTACAATTTATAGTTCAAAGGGTCAATTTCTCAAAAAGCAAGCAAACACACATTTTCCTAACTTTACTTTCTCTGGTGATGAGATTTTCAGAAATATTTTCTAGAAACCCTTTAATTTCACCTTACAGGACTATCTCCTCTTTGTAATTACTTCATGAAAGTTTCCCTGTCTCCACCTTTTAGAATCAATACTAAATGTGTCCTACTGCCACTGTGCCTCTTTTATCTATGGCTATTAATGCTGAGATTATAGCTATAAGGAATCTGACTTCCTGGTTTTCTATTTTTAGGAGATATAATAGGACTTGCAGCTCAGAATCTGGAGAATCTTGTCCAAATGCCCTATAGATTTGGAGAGCGGAATATTGTCCTAGCAGCATCCAATACCTATGTCCTTGACTACCTGCAATCTACTGAGCAACTGACAGAGGAGGTTAAATCTCAGGAACTCTTGTTCTTATCTAATGGTAAGAAGATTTCTGTAATTTCTTCCCATAATAGTTGAAATCAATTGTTACTAATACCAAGATGTCACAAAATTATTTTTATGAGGTATTCTTGTTGGGGAAAACTGGACTTCAACTGAGGAACTCTGAGTCCTACCTATGTTTTCTTTTTGACTTCAAAATATGTGCGGTCAGTGACCGTCATAATTAGGAATTGTGAAGTTTTAGAATCATGAACTC